AGTTACTCCACACTTTCTCTTGCCCAGCCCAAAACTACTTCCTCATTCTCCCAGCTTGGTATCTGTAAAGACAATCATCCTTTTTGGGTAAAGGTAAAAGAAAAACCCTAGAGGAGGTACTTGCTGAGAAGACAAGGTTATCCCATTTTACAGGGAAAAGTGTTAAAATCTGTATTGTTAACAGTAGTAATGATAGCAATAACAATAAAGGTATTGCCACACAATTCAATCATTTCCAAGTTATTGGCAGGTCCACATCCCCCTCCTCTAGGGCATAGTTCAGTCGAATAATGAACAGGACTGATTTTTTCCTTGATAAAAGTGAGTCACAAGTCCCTTGTTATTCTCATCAGAGTTCAGCATAGTGGTTCAGTCAGGACTGGGAATCAAGCTCTTTGCAGGTGGGATTATCCTATAAACAGTTGTGTCTTCCTTGGCTCCCCACTGTCTGCTGGAGAAAGCCAGGATCCTACACAGAATGGCCTTACTTCCAGAGGCTAACCCAAGTCTAGGCAAATTTAACAAGTTGATTTGTTTCTTTAACTCTGTAAATTTAAAGTAATTCAGATCAGATACGATGACTGTAACAGATCTGAAGATTTCTGAGAAATCTTAGTTGGCCCATTTCATTCCGTGCTAGTACTTTTAGGAAAGCTAAGGGTAATAGGGTGGTGTTTAATATATGATACTTGAATGTGTTCAACAAGTGTAGAAAAGTCTTATAACGATACATGCTTCTTAAATATAGTCAGTGAGTATTCTAACATTCATGAAAAATTAATTCTAGAATACCTCTTTCTTGTGAATGGACATATATTAGTGGAGCATAAATATTTCTTTGTTATGACCCTCAATCCCTCTCTCATCTCCCAGTCTTCCCCTCTGAGCCATCTTTTCCCTACATTCTGCCCCCTCTTCTGCCTCCTCTTCCTTCCCCTGTTCCCAGTCCCCTCAATGCTCCCCATTTCTGCTCTCTGCCTTACAACTCTCCCTTCTCTTCTGCTCTGAATTTTCCTCTACACTGTCTTCCAGCCACCTCTTGGAGGCCCCTTCTCTGCTCCCTCAATCTCCGGCTCTCTGTCCCACATTTTCCCCTTCTCTGCCCCTTGGTCTCCCTATCCACTGTCCCCATCCCTCTCTCCATCCCTTGCTCTCCTCAGCTCTTCCCCATAACCTCCTCCTCTCTCATCCCGAGTCTCTGTTTTATCTGACCCCCAGTCTTCCTCTCTGTTCTACAGCCTCCTCCTCCCACAAGCCCCTCATTAGTCCCCCTCCAATATGGGTAGCCTGGAGGTGGGGCACACATCCTTGCTTCCGCAGAGAGATCCATTTCCCTGTCCCAGCAGCAGCAGAAATCTGATGAAAGGCAGATGAAAACTTTCCTAAAATGCTGATAGAAAGCTCACATGAAAACTGACCAACTCACACTTTGCTGAAATATTCAAAAGCTTTAAAACTACATACCCAATAAAAAGTTAAAAGCAATAAGCAAAATCAGCAAAGTGGCCCCTTGTGAAAGGAGGCCGGTGAGTTGCAGGTGTTCCCTTGTCTCTCTCCAGCATCTGCACCACCACGCCACCCACTTCTGTCCCCAGAAACTGTGCCCAGCCTTCCTCCTCCCACGTGTGAATTCCCCTGGGGACCCTGCCCTCCCAGTTCCCCACATCTGAAATGTCCTACCCATGCCCGTCCTCCTGCTAACCTCCCCTCTGAAATCTGATCAGCCCCCAAAAGCTGCCTCAAATACCCTCTCTTATGAAGTTTTACACTGTCCTTCCACGCCACTCCGCATTGCCCCTTTATACTCCATCCAGTGTACGAACCAGGGCTCAAAGCTAGGCCTTCTAGCTTCTGGTTCAGGGCTTTTCTCAAGATGTGGCCTTGGGGAACTGTGGGAGGAACCTGGGCTTGGCCATCACACAGGTGTAGGTTCTGATCTTGAGGCCACCTTTGGTCTCTGAGCCTCAGTTTCTATCTATAAAGCAGGACAGTCACCTGCTCGGCCATTCCCAGGTCCAGTGCTTCCTGAGGGCCTGTTGGGAGGTGTCCACTGTTGATAGCACCCACCATAATTCAATGTGTCACCTGAGAATTTAATGTGTCACATCTAATAGACAAATACAGCATCAGCCCAGTGTACTTGGCCCACAGAGGAGGGAGGAAGATGGGCACTGTAGTTCCACACACCTTCCAAAGACCTTACTTAGCAGTTTGACACATGTGACCCTGGTATTTTCCTGGAGGGAGGCCTTTCTCTATCTGTCATTCTTCCAGTAGTACCCCCTGGGATGTTGGAACCACAGCCACCAAGCTTTGTATTTTACTTCCTGAGCTGGGTGGAGGCTGGAGCCCTCCGCCCCTTGTTCACCTCTTATCACATTCAGGCCTGAAGCCAGCACCAGGAAAGTGGCTGGGCTGGCCATAGACCAGCCCGACTGCAGGCCTGGCCCCCTCCTGATGTGGAAGGCCCCGTCAGATGGCAGATGGAGTCATCGTAAATCTGCCTAGTGATTTTACTCCAAGTGAAACTCGGGGCTGTCCACCAGGTGCCTGCAGGTGTGGATAGAGCAGGGGGCCAGGAGTGTCCCAGTCCCCTGTGATGCACCACAGATGTGCTGGAGGGTCACCCCACTGTCCGCTTCTTCAGAGAAGCTGCTCAGTCTCTTCATGTGGGTCATCACCCCCAGGCAGACAACAGGCTCTCCCTGTGGGACCTGTGCAGTCCTGGAATGCCTCCTCGGCCCATCTGCCTCTCCTCTTAGTCCAAGGTACTGGGCGCCTCCCTCCTATGAGAGTGTCCCCTTCAGCTTCTCCTGCCCCTCCTCCAGCTTTCCTGGCATCTATCCCCCAGGGACACCTTCCTCCCTCTCCAGCTCCTCAGAGCCACAGGAAAGCCACTTCCCCTGCAGCAGCTACACTCTGGCCCAGGCCCAGGCCTCTGGTGGCCGCCCCTCAGTCCTCACTGCACATGAACTTGCTCTGCCTGCCCCACCAGCACTCAGAATGCCTCCCACTCTCCCTCTGTCCTCACAGCCCTGTCTCCACCCTTTCAGGAGTTCCTTCTGGGCTTTGAGCAAAGGGGTTTGAGGTCACAGGTTCGGTTTCCTCCTCCCATGTGTGCTCTGGTTACTTGGATTGGCACATGTAGTCACGAAGGGGCTGCAACGCAGGGGCCCGTGCTAGCTCACAGGCAGTGCAGGACCTGGTGTCCTGCAACCTGCTGGATTCGGGAAGGGGCACCGGTGGTTCTGACACACACAACCAGTGGCCTGTGCCTCTGGAAAAAGGAGGCCACCCAGGACGGTGTCACTTCGTTTTCTCAATGGTCCTGTAAGTGAGGGGTTATCATCCTTGGGTAGATGAAGAAACAGCTTCAGAGAATGAAGCAATGTGCCATCCAGCTAGTTGCCTGAAGCTGGGATGTGAATTCAGAGCTCCAGACCCCAGGGCCCACCCAGCTTTCTGCCCCTCACTGCCCTCTTCCCACTCGTTAGTGGGATCAGGAATCTCTGTCTTGGCTCACAACCTGCAGCTGAGGTCTCCGTAAATCCCTGTGGCGTGCAGGGCCTGGCGTGGGGCAGGCCCAATGCGTATCCAGTCCTGGGCCACTCAGCCCCCACTCTACTCTTCCAGATGGGCCTGAGCCCCTGAGATGCTGAGACTCCTGTCCCATCAGAATCTGCCCGCCCTGCCCATGATGGGCGAGGCCCTGTCTGTGGCCCTGCTCTCCTGAGGATGAGCTGTGGCAGGAAGGCTCTTTCTCAGAGGTGACAGGTGAGGCTGGTACTCTGCCTGCAGGAGGGGCATTCTTGTGGGGCCGAGGCTGGTCCACATGTGGCTGGATCCAAGACATGTCATCCCAGCACATGGGCCTGGTTCCTCTGCCATCAGAAACTGTTCCTAGGACCTCTGGCCTAAACCACAGAGCACAGGGAGGAAGCTTCCGCTTTCTGACCACAAGCGTCTGGCCTCAGTGTCAGCCACCCCAAACTGCTCACAGCGTTCAGAGCCAAGAGGTTTGCGGAAAACACTTGACTTCCCATTCCTCTTAGGAAGCCCTCCAGGGGTCCTCCTGGCAGCTTGGAGGCAGGGCATCGAATGGGGATGCCTGGGCTCAGACAAAGGATGATACCCCTTGCCCCTTCCACTTTGCCATCGTGCTGAGAAGTCTAGGTTCTGCTGCCTTGGATAAAGCTCAAGGGTTGATGAATCTGACTTAGAAAGTGCCTTGGAGGGGCCAGGCACAGTGGCTCATGGCTGTAATCCCAGCACTTTGGGAGGCCGAGGCAGGTGGATCACTTGAGGTCAGGAGTTCAAGACCAGCCTGGCCAACATGGTGAAACCCTGTCTCTACTAAAAATGCAAAACTTAGCCAGATGTGGTAGCAGATGCCTGTAGTCCCAGCTACTTGGGAGTCTGAGGCAGAAGAATCACTTGAACCTTGGAAGTGGAGGTTGCAATGAGCCGCGATCGAGACACTGTACTCCAGCCTGAGCAACACAGTGAGACTCCACCTCAAAATAAAAAAGAAAATACCTTGGAGGGCATCAAGTCCAGGGCTTTCCAAACCTGCTGGTCATCAGAACATGTAATGCAATGCCTGAGCCTCTCATCCCACCTTCCTGTTTGCCATCCATTGCTGCAGAGACACAAGCCCTCTAGAAGCTATGGCTGCTGCCTCAGAGCCACCCATGTCCTGGAAGCAGGAGCCTGGCAGGGAGGAGGCCAAGCAGCCTTGTCCCGGAGGCCTGGGCAGCAGTGCTGTACACAGCCTGGGGTGGTGCCTTCTAGTTGCAAGGCCAGTCTCACCCTGCCACCAGTAATACCACAGGTGCAGCCGGAGCCGCTTGATCTCTCTGTTCTCTAGGCATCACCATGCGGCTGTGAACTGCAGCTGTCCCAGGAAGACTCAAATCCATGCAAGTTCCCTGTATCTAAACCTCACCATTTTCACTCACTTATTAGCCACACTGATAACTGGAAAGAGAGGAAGTGGCTGTGATGGAAAGGCCTGGGGCGGGGCTCCAGCTCTGCTCTAAGTGGCAGAGGTGGGAGTCACTGAGCCTCGCTGTCTTCATCTGTGGAAGGGGTCATAACTCCCCTGCACTCCCAGCGTCGTTGTGGAGATCCACTTTCAGCAAGCCCATCACCAGTTGTAAAGGCCCCCCACAAGGCTGTCCATGTGGGGGCAACTGCGGACCCTCACTGGGCACAGCCTCACAGGTGCAGGCATGAGCCTGGGCGTCTCCCTATCCTCCAGCCTGAGCTAAGTGCAGACAGCAGACGTTGCCCTCTGAGCAGCACGGCACTGTCCTGGCTCACTGGATTCTCTCTCCTCAAGAGTAGGGCCCAGGACTTGTCCACTTCTGCCACCTGCCTGGGTCTTAGCACTGAGCCTTGTCAGGGGCAGGCCTTCAGTGAATGCCTTGACTAAATGAATTCAGGAGTTCATTTAAGGTGTTCATGAAGCATCTTGGCTCCATGAACTTTAGTGGAGGCAGAACTCTACCTCTTCCCATTTTGGCTAGGCCTGAGAATCGGCATAAGACAGATTCATGGGCAAAAGTATACAGATTTCTTTAATACAAGTTGTACGTGGCATGGGAGCCCTCTTAAAAAGATGAAGACCCCAAGAAGCAGTTAGAGTCAATCCCCCTTAGATACTGCATTGGATGATTAGTTGTGAAAGGTGATAAGGCCAAGGGGCTTGGGCTAGGGCAGGTAATTGGGCAGAGAAGTGACTCGGGAGGTCAGGGTGCATTGTACAAGATCTGTTTGTTTGGATTTCTTTTGGCTTCAGTTTCCCAAACTTGATGAAAAGAGTGTTACTTTCCTTTTGGTGTAGGGAGGACATCTTTCACAGGGGACTTTCATCTCCTGCTTCTAAGAAACAGTACGAATGTCAGAGTGATCTTGCACCTGCTGTTTTTTTAAGTGCTTTTCATTCAACATAGTCCCTATGCCAGAGCAGCATACTTTGGGGTGACAAATTCTTAACACCTTCAGAACAAAGGCTCAGGAGACCACACATGGCCTGATTGCCTGTTCTCCTTCCCAGGTGGATTCGTACGACGTGACTGTGGATGAGGAACTGGGCGAGATCCAGCTGGTCAAAATCGAGAAGCGCAAGTACTGGCTGCATGACGACTGGTACCTGAAGTACATCACACTGAAGACGCCCCACGGGGACTACATCGAGTTCCCCTGCTACCGCTGGATCACCGGTGATGGCGAGGTAGTCCTGAGGGATGGACGCGGTGAGCAGCTCAGGCCCCTTCTGCCCCGGGCTTCCCGAGAACCGAAAGTCCTTCCTGTCCTCAAAGCACTGTAGTCATAGGAGGAATGACACTGCTGTGCAGGGGCGAGAAGTGGGAGGGCTCTGCCCTGTGTCTCGACACACCTGCAGGAGGCGTGACTTTCTTTGGGATTCATCCAAGCCCCTGAGGGTGGAGCAGGTGGCCCTAGGCCTCACTGCCATCATGTCCTCACTCTGTGCTACAGTTCTACAGGGGAGGGTTGTGCCTCCCTTTTTGTCAGTGGGTAACTAAGGTCCACTGAGGCAGATAGCTATGGGACGTGCCCCTGGATGGGCACTTCTCCAGTTGCCAGGGTGTGACATCACTTTCTAGGTTCATAGCCTGCCCTCTCACAGTAGGGCTCAGGCAAGCTTGAGGTGCCCTTGTGGGCCTGGGGAGTGAAGGGGTGGACAAGGAGCACCCCAAGTGCCAGCTCCAAGGGGTGATGGACAGGCCTGCAAATCACAGTTACCAGTTCTTCAACCCCAAGTCTCACTTTTTGCTGAAAGAGAGAAGAACCTCAAATCTGCTCCCCTTAGTCAGATTCCAGTCAGGAGGCCATTCTTTGTAAGAAACACACAGCTGACCTGGTACAGAGCATCAGAGAGAGAAGCAGGCATCAAGGTCAGCCAAGGCCACTCTCCCTGAATGAACTGCCTTGCACACCCAGCCTCCTAGTGTACCTGGCAAAATCCTACCTCACTTCAAGTCATAACCCTTCTGCTTGCTCTCAGTTTAAACCTGGAAAGATAAGTCTTCAAAGGCCAGGCAGCCACTGTAATAATAAGAGGAAGCCACTGCTTCTGCCATGACAGCTTCAAACTCTTCCTCTTTGACAAGTTTCCTGTAGCTAGTGTGTTTTTCACAGAAGTCTGGTGGGGTAGGTAGGAAGAAATGACTATTATCCCCATTATATAGCTAAGAAAACTGAGACAAAGGATAAAAATGTTATTATGTACCTGCTGTTCTTAAGCTACCAGGCCACATCCCATCGTTTCTGATGTGGAGTTTGACTTAAGAAACCAAATTTCCAGAATATTTCTGAACACGGAGATAAGAGGATTTTTGTCCCCCTACCTAATGACAGGAAAAAAATCACAAAGTTCATTTATTCTTGTGGTCGTCAGAATGTGGAAAGTTGTGGAGAGGGCACTTCTCTTTTTCTGGTAGTTAGAAAATGCTGGCTCTGAAACTCCCTCCTGCCCATCTACCCAAGGTCTCAGTTATGAAGCCCTTCCTCCTGCAGACGCTTCAGCTCATCTCGGCAAAAAACAGATGGTACACTAGGATGAGGGTTTAAGAAAGGGGCATCACAAAGGTGTGGGCCCATGCGCAGAGGGACCATGCAGAGTGCAGGGCCATCAGCACCACTAGTCCTGATGCAGGGGGAGGGAGAAGGTTGTGGGAGTAATCCAGAAGTATCCTGGAGACAGCACCCTTGGAGGAGCTGCGGCCCTCAGTAGAAAGGTGCTGGGGAGTAATTGGCCTCTCCTTGCTCTACATATTCCCTCCTTTCTGGTCAGAGTTCCCAGTGGGAAGCCCATTGAGGCATCTCATTCCAATCACTTTCAGGGATAGCACCGGTTGGAGGGTGAGTATAGAGAAACTGTCCAGCAATTTTCACTCTCTCTACTGCTGTAAAACCAACCTCCTTGGTAGCTTTAAATAGCCATTTAATTTTGTTCATGCTCTTGCAGGTCAGGAATTTGGGAAAGGCTTCACTGGGCGGTACATCTGCGGCCATGTAGCATCAGCTTAGGGGACTGGGGCTTCTTCTCTCTAGGCTCCTTGGCCTCTCTGTCCATATGGAGTCTCATTCTTTAAGGCTTCTCACAGAATAGTATCCTCTGGGTGCTTGCATTTCTTACATGATGGCTGGCTTCCAAGAGCAAGTTTTCTAAGAGACAGAAAGTTGAAGCTGCCAGTCTGTTCAGGCTTGGGCCTAGAAACTGGCACACTGTAACTTCCACCATATTCTACTGGTCCAAGCAGTCACAGAGCCCACCCAGACTCCAGAGGAGGGGATGCAGACCCCCCATCTCTCAATGGAAGGAATGTCAAAGAATTTGTGGCCTATTATTATTGTTATTATTATTATTATTTTGAGACAAAGTCTCACTCTGTTGCCCAAGCTGGAAGGCAGTGGCATGATCTCAGCTCACTGCAACCTCTGCCTCCCAGGTTCAAGCGATACTCCTGCCTCAGCCTCCCAGGTAGCTGGGATTACAGGCTCCAGCCACCATGCCTGGCTAATCTTTGTATTTTTACTAGAGATAGGGTTTTGCCATGTTGGCCAGGGTGGTCTGGAACTCCTGACCTCAGGTGATCCACTTGCCTCGGCCTCGCAAATTGCTAAGATTACAGTCATGAGCCACCAAGCCCAGCTGTGGCCGATTATTAATCCACCACATGGCACAACAACCAATTCCTTGAACAACCTGGAAATGAGGGGGGGCCAACCTACAAGTGATTCAATTACTCACCATATGATCACCCCTTAACCCTAATATTTCACCACTACACCTTGGGTGAACATGAATGTCAGAGGGCCATTACTGTGGCCCCATGGATCCAGAGCATCTGTGTAAAGGGACAGTTTCATTAAGGCACTGTGTCAGTCCTTGGAACCTGCCCTGCTGAGCTCTTCTGCCATCAGTCCAGGCTTTCTCATCCTGTCGTACTCCCAGAACTTCATCAGCCATTGGGTAGATTCTTCAAACACCTTTGGGGCCAGGGGAGAAGGACCATTCTCTTTTTTAAACTTGGCATGTTGCAATTGTGCATGTACTGACTTATTCATACCAGTGAAACTGAAGAGATCCAGCACCTCAGAGTCGAGGTGCCCAAGAGATTAGCTGGTTCTTTAAGGTATATAAGAGATGATGAATGTTGAGTGCCTCCAAAATTACCCCCATAGCCAATGATAACAGTTATTGTCACCATTAATACTCACCTTGCCTTCCGTGGCCTCAAGCCTCCCCTCTTGGCTGGCCTTACATCCCCAGGGGAGAATGCAGAGGTATCCCGCTAATATTCCTTTTTGGGCCCCAGTTCCAAGCTCAAGGATGAAGCTGCCTCAGCCTGGAAGTGCTGTGGGGTGGACAGCTCAGAGTGTGGCCTGGGTGTCATCTGAGAACTGGGTCCAGGTCTGCAGTTAGATCAGTACAGAGGTTGAAGCCTATAGTTCCAGCACTTTGGGTGGCCAAGGCGAGAGGATTATTTGAGTCTAGGATTTTGACACAAGCCTGGGCAATGTAGAGAGACCCCATCTCTTAAAAAAAAAAAAAAATTGAAAATTAGCCAGGGGCCAAGGTGGGTGGATCATGAGGTCAGGAGATTTAGACCATCCTGGCTAACACAGTGAAACCCCGTCTCTACTAAAAATACAAAAAATTAGCTGGGCGTGGTGGGGCACCTGTAGTTCCAGCTACTCGGGAGGCTGAAGAAGGAGAATGGCGTGAACTCGGGAGGCGGAGCTTGCAGTGAACTGAGATCGGGCCACTGCACTCCAGCCTGGGTGATAGAGCAAGATCCCATCTCAAAAAAAAAAAAAAAAAAAATTAACCAGGTGTGGTGGTGTGTGCCTATAGTCCCAACTACTTAGAAGGCTGAGGTTGGGGAACCACTTGAGTCCTGAAGTTCAAGGCTCCAGGGAGCTATGATCATGCCACTGCACTCTAGCCTGGGAGACAGAGAGAGACCCTGTCTCTAAAAAAAAAATAAAATAAATACAAAATAAAATACAAAGACTCAGAGTAGGGGTTTTGGAAACTTTTATAGCAACTTAACAGAACAATTTTATGACTTTTGTACTTAATAAGAAAAAAAATGACTTGCATTTTGAATATCTTTGGGTTTTGTAAATTTCATTTTCATTTTTTCTAGTAATTAATTGTTATTATATTTTACAAAAATATCAATCTGTGTTGAAAAGAAAGTTTTAAAACGTAATGCTTCACCATGAGAGCTACAGAAACTATTCCAGGATCTGTTTTCAGGAGATCTGGGTTCCCCCTACTCACAGCTCTATGGGCTGCATTCACAGGCTTGGCCTTAAGCAATAGTTTAAAGAGTGGTCGTGATATGACCGGTCTGCTGTAAAGGCTCTGAGAAGCAGCCCTGCCCTTAGCTACCTGCTCCAACTCCTGCAGTGAGAGACACACTGAGAGATAAGATGCTCTCAGAGCCAGGCTTAGAGGGAGGAGCAGAACCCTCAGGCCAATGATGACTATGGGCATGATAATGGTCATTGTTTCCGTCCATTGGCATTTGCTGCATGCCAGGTGCTGTGTGGAGGGCTTTCCTGCATTCTCTCCCCAAATGCACACCATGACCCAGAGAAGTAGGCATTATCATCTCCATTTTACATGTGAAGGGGTCAGGGCAACTCTTGGTCACACAGCTTCAGTGATGGAGCCCAAGTCCAAGCACATGTGCATTGGGCATTGTTATTGTTCTTCCTAAGGCTCCTCTCATGTTGTTCTTTCTTTACAGCAAAGTTGGCTCGAGATGACCAAATACACATTCTCAAGCAACACCGACGTAAAGAACTGGAAACACGGCAAAAACAGTATCGGTGAGTTATGACATCAGATCAGGTGGTCACGGGGGCCGTGATTTCTTCTAGCTCAAGTGCATGGTATGAAGTAAACCCTTTTCATGGCATATGGCCCGTCACTGCTGGAAAGTCACCAAGGCACCAACTCCCAGTGTGGCTGCACAATCCCCAAACTTCACCTTACCTACAACTCCAGACGAGAGATGGAGAGGAGAGTAATGAAACTTTGAATCAACCATATTGGCATGTAGGAAGAGTGGGCAGAAAAGCTTGAGTGTACCTGAATGTTCTCCATTGTGGGAGTTGCCTCTTACTTCTTATGTCTTCTTATAACAATTCAATTATAAAAGTGATATGTGATCAGCAACAAAATTGACAACTCTTCAGCCAACTGACCAGAGGATTCAAACTATTAAAAGCCCAGACCCAGATAATTTCACTGGCTAATTCCATCAAACATTTAAATAATTAATACCAATCTTGCATAAACTCTTTTACGAAATAGCAGGAACACTTCCCAACTCATTGTCTCATACCCGTATTATACCAAAACTAAAGGCATCACAAGAAAACTATAAACCAATATCCCTTAGCAATATAGATATAAACATTTTCAACGAAATACTAGCAAACCTAACTCAGCAATATATAAAAGGCATTAAACAATATGAACATGTGGGATTTAGCCCAGGAATGCAAAGTTGGTTTAACATCCAAAAATCTATTAATCTATTAATTGAATACACCATATCAATAGAGTAAAGAACAAAACAAAGTATATAATCATTTCAATAGACATACAAAAAAAGGCATTTGACAAAATCCAACACCCATTCATGATAAAACACTCAAAAAATAGGAATTGAAGAGAATGTCCTCAACCTGATAAAGGTTTGAAAATTCACAATTAGGCTGGGCGCAGTGACTCACGCCTGTAATCCCAGCACTTTGGGAGGCCGAGGTGGGCAGATCACGAGGTCAAGAGATTGAGACCATCCTGGCCAACATGGTGAAACCCCATCTATACTAAAAATACAAAAAGTGGCTGGGTGTGGTGGCATACGCTTGTAGTCCCAGCTACTCAGGAGGCTGAGGCAGGAGAATCACTTGAATGCAGGAGGCAGAGGTTGCAGTGAGCTGAGATCATGCTACTGCACTCCAGCATGGTGACAGAGCAAAGAAAAAAAAAGAAAATTCATTAACATTATACTTCATGATGAAAGATTGAATCCAGAAACAGGATAAGGATGTTCACTTTTGCTACTTCTATTCAACATTGTACTGGAGGGTCTAGCCAGGTCAGTTAGGGAAGTAAAAGATAAGTAAAGGCACCCACACTGGAGTACAGTAAGTAAAACTATCACAATTTACAAATGACATGATCTTATATATAGAAAATCTGAAGGCATTCACCAAAAAAAACTATTAGAACTAATAAACAAGCAAGGTTGCAAGATACAAGATGATCAATTGTTTTTCTGTATATTAACAACCAACAATGTGAAAATAAAAGTAAAAAAAAAGTTCAATTTACAATAGCATCAAAACAATAAACATTTATGAATAAATTTAACAAAGTAGTCTGAGAATTGTACAATGAAACTACAAAACATTGTTTAACATAGTTAAAAATGATCTAAATAGATTGAAAGACATTTCATGCTCATGAATCAGAGGACTTAATTTTGTTAAAATAGCAATTTTAAAAAAGTAATAACCTGTACGTACATAACAAAGTAATGTGCAAGTTCAACGCAACCCTTATCAAAATTCTAGCTGATTTCTTTGCAGAAATTGACAAAGTGTTCCTAAAATTCATATGGAAATGGAAGAGATCCAGAATAGCCAAAACAATCTTGATAAAAAGAAAACAAAAATGGAGGACTTGCACTTCTCAATATCAAAATTACTACACAGCTATGGTATTCAAGACAATGTGATATTGGCATAAGGATAGATATATGGATCAATGAAATAGACTTGAGAGTCCAGAAATAAGCCCTTACACTTACGGCCAATTAATTTTTGACAGAAGTAGCAAGACAATTTAACAGAGAAACAATAGTCTTTTCAAAAAATGTCCCTAGCAAAACTGTATAGCCACATACAAAAGAATGAAGTTGGATCCTTAGCTCACACCATATACATAAATTAACACAAAATCGATTAAATACCTACCTAAATGTAACAGCTAAAACTATAAAACTCTTTTAAGAAAACACAGGAGTAAACCTTCATAATTTTGGATTTGACAAAGGACTCTTTATATGACACCAAAAGCATCAGCAACAAAAGACAAATAGATAAAATGATGTCATCAAATTTGCAAACCTTTATGTTTCAAAGGACACCATCAAGAAAGTGAAAAGACAAACCACAGAATGGAAGAAAGATTTACAAATTGTATATCTGATAAGGGCCTTCCATCCAGAATTTATAAAGAACTCTTAAACTCAATAAAGACAAATAGCCCAATTATAAAATGAAAAAAAATGAGTGAGGATCTGAATAGATATTTCTCCAAGGACCCATTAGTCATCTAGGAAATGCAAATCAACACCACAATGAGATACCACTTGATACTCACTAGGATGGCTAGAATCAAAAAGTCAGACAAGAACAAGTGTTGACAAGGATATGGAGAAATCAGAACCCTCATACACTGCTGGTAGGAATGTAAAATGGCACAGCTGCATGGAAAAGAGTCTGCTAGCTCCTAACTGTTCAACAGAGAGTTACAATATGACAGCATTTCCACTCTTAAGCATATTCCCAACAGAAATGGAAACATATGCTCACACAAAAACTTGTACATTGATGATTATAGCAGCATTGCTTGTAACTATCAAAAGGTGTACACAACCCAAATGTCCGTTAATGGATGAATGGATAAAATATAATATATCTATATAATTTGACCATGAAAAAAGAATGAAATACTGACACTTGCTACAACATGGATGAATCTCGAAAACATTATGCTAAGTGAAAGAAACCAGTCACAAAAGATCATATATTGTATGATTCCTTTTATATGAAATTTCTGGAAGAGAAAAATCTGTACAGACAGAAAGTAGATTACTGGTTGTCTAGGGGCAGGGAGTGAGGAAGTGGTCATGGGAGTGACAGCTAATGGATACAGTGTTCCTTTTGTGGGGGATGAAAATGTTCTACAACTGATGGTTGTGCACTGTGTAAAAATTAATACTAAACATCCTTGAATTGAACACTTTAAATGGATAAATTTTATAGTATGTGACATATTTCAATAACGCTGCTAGAGAAATTTAAAAATTCAAAATGGATTATAGATCTAAAAGTAAGGGCTAGCAACATAACACTCTTGGAAGAAAACATACGAGTAAGTCTTCATAATCTTGGGTTCGGCAAAGCCTCTTAGATATGGCACCAAGAACGCAGGCAGCAAAAGAAAGTAACCAAGTTAGACGTCATTAAAATGTAAAAGATCTATACTTCAAAAGACATCATCAATAAAGTGAAAAGGCAACCCACAGAATGGAGAAAATATCTAAATCATATGTCTGATAAGGGACTTGTGTCCAGAATATATAAAGAATTCTGACAACTCAATTTAAAAATATTCTGTATGAATAACCCAGTTTAAAAATTAGCAAAGCATTTAATTAAATAATTCTCCAGAGAAAATTTGTGAATCTCCAATAAGCATGTGAAAATATGCTCAACATTATTAATCATCAGGAAATTTCAAATCAAAACCACAAGATACAATTTCACACCCACTAAAATGGTTAGAATAAAAAAGACAGATAGTAATAAGTGCTGCCAAGGATGTGGAGAAACTGGAACCCTGATGCTGCTACTGGAATGTAAGATGATGCAGCCACTTCAGATAACAGTTTAGTGGTTCCGCAAAATCTTAAACCCAGCTACAATATGACCCAGCAATTCTACTCCTAGTCCTCTACCCAAGAATAATGAAACCATACATCTATACAAAAACTTGTACACACGTATTTATAGCACCATTGTTCACAATAGCCAAAAAGTAGAAACAAGCTAAATTCCATTAGCTGAGGAATGAATAAACAAAATATAGTTTATCCATACAATGGGATATTTTTTGGCATTAAAAAGGAATGAATGCTGGGCGCGGAGGCTCACACCTGTAATCCTAGCACTTTGGGAGGCTGAGACGGGCAGATCTCTTGAGGTCAGGAGTTTGAGACCAGCCTGGCCAACATGGTGAAACCCTGTGTCTACAAAAATACAAAAATTAGCCGGGTGTGGTGGTGCGCACCTGTAATCCCAGCTGCTCGGGAGGCTAAGGCAGGAGAATCACTTGAACCCGGGAGGCGGAGGTTGCAGTGAGCCTAGATTCCCGCACTGCACTCCAGCCTAGGTGACAGAGCAAGACTCCATTTCAAATAGAAAAAAAAAGAAATGAAATGAACTACAGATACATGCCAAACACTGAATGAACTTCAAAAATATGCTAAATGGAAAACTCACTTACGGAAGACCCCATATTGTATGATTCTATCTGTATGAAATGTCCAGAATAGGCAAACCCACAGGGTCAGATTAGTAGGTGAGTAGTTACCTAGGACTAGGAGTTGGGGAGGGGGAACAAGGAGTGAGTGTTAATGGGTTCGAGGTGTCCTTTGGGGATGAGATTATTTCAAAATTAGGTTATAATGATGGTTACACAGAGAACTCTGCAAATACATTAAAATCTTTCAATAGCATACTTTTAAGGGGTGAATTTAATGGTATGTAAATGTATCTCAATAAAGTTTTTGGAAGATAATAATAATAACACATTACAGAGTGCTCCTCTGGAAATGGGTGGCTGATGGGCTGTATCCAGCCTCTACAAGTGTTTGATGGATCATTGTTGACTTTTGAGTAAACAGAGATATTCTTCAGGCTTCCCCAGTCCACACCTGTCTGTTGTCTCTATCAAGGTTTTCTCTCATTTCATTTCCTGCTTTGGCCCCTGGAAACATTTGAGTCTGTCTCCTTCCAAGGGAAGGAAG